ACCGCCAGAAGTCATCCTCGGCGCAGACGAATCTGCGTCGAGGGACTTGGCGGACGACAACGAGCTGGTACTCGTTGCCGAGCGGGTGCGAGTGATTGGCACCGAGCCCTTAAGGGGAGCTTCGGCCCTGACGCTTTTGAAGGCGTCCCGCATGACCGCTTTGAAGACGGCCTTCTGGCGTGGACCCGGTTCCTTGCGGATGACGCTGTCTAGTACCGACAGAATAAACGGGTCCGTGCTGCTTTTGGCCCAGAGGCGGCGAAGTCCACGGGCAACTGCACGATTCTGGGAATCGTCAGCATGCCGAATCGCGGACTCGACCACGGACTTCATCCTCCCGACGTCGTACTCGCTCGACGTCGGGAGAGGGAGCGATGCCAGGTCGGCAGTGACCTCACGAGAGATCGGTGAGGCGCGGTTTGCACCGTTCTCCTGGCTGACGGTCTTCTTCGGCCCTTTGGGATTGGCGGTGGAAGGGCGCGGAAGAGATTTGGCTTTACCCATCAAGCCGACTTTGCGCAGGTCGGCTGCCGTTGGCATCGTTCCGAGGGGCCGCATGGAGGCGAGAACTGGGTTCTTGTCGCTCGACACGGCTGACCATGGTGTGTCTCGGTAACTTGGCTGCGCCGGCCTCAGGGGAGGCTCAACCCACTGGGTGTTGGGCGGGTGCAGGAATGATTGTAAGTTACCAAAGGACTCCACCCGGGGCCCTGTCTGCTGAGGCTCATGCTGTCCATGCTCTTGTTGTACTTCCGTAATATTTTCTGGTGCTTGCTGGGGTGGCTGAGATTGCCTTGCTTGCGATTCAGCTGTCACTTCGCGAGAGTTGTCGACGTCCGGTGCAGGGTCCACACCAATACGAGTGTTCCGACCGGTGCGTCGCTGCTTGCGCGGTCTCGTAGATTCAGTGAAGGAAGAGGAATCCACTGCCGGCGATGCATCCATAGGAGTAGACAGTCGCGAGTTGTTCGAGGTGGCTCGGGAGGTAGAACGGAGGTTCGGAGCCATTGTTCAGAGATGAAAGGCAAGACTTGTAAAAAAGGGGAAACGCCTGCGATACGTCGTTAGCTTTGCATGGATATTTTCTTGCAGGAAAAGAACTTACTGGAACAGCTGATTCCAAAGCTGGCAGCAAACGCACCAGACTTTGTTGTTGGAATCGTGGTCTGCCCGCGCGTCGTCTGCGGGTCGAGGGAGGAAGGAGTTCGAGGGAGCTCGGGGAGATGCCAAAAGTAGGCGAGTTTTCGGAACTCCCAAGTCACACCCTGGCGGCGACTGTAAGGAGCGCAGTAACCACGAAACAGCAACAACAACACTCTCCGTGCTTTCAAATGCACTCGAATGCCGGGATTTTGGATTTCAGATTTTTCGGATCAAGTGAGATTGAATTTTGGTAATCCTGACGTGACTCGCTTTGCTGCGTGCACTTTCAGGGGCTGTCGAGCAGTGCTGCTTCTTTGCACGTGGAAAGAAGCAATGTCAGGAGATTAGAGTGCCGATGGAATTTCACCGCGTGTAGCTCAGCTGGTCTTGTTCGTAACGACTTTGAGAGCTGTCGAGCTGTGATGTTGCGGGAAAGG